CGTATTCTGGCTGACGTTTCAAAAGCTCGCTCGCATATTCCAGCATCCAATACCAAGAGTCCGACTGAGTAGTCTATCGCTGCTATCTTATGGAGCTATTTCAAGCAAGCATTGAACTCAGAAGGGTTTTGTTGGCGTTATTAAACGGGAACGACACGGAAGTCGGAAAGATGGAATCTCCCTCCTAACCGAAATATGAAATCTACAGACCTCGAGTATGATTTATAAGAAGGTGTGGATCCTGCGACGTCATTCAATTTTTAACCGAAATTCTAAAACTTATTATCGTGCAGCTTGATTCGCAGATTTTCCGGACACGGCAGTATGTGGGCTTTTAAATGCACGTCTTTCCGGCTACCCATAAAAATAGCGCTTTGGAAAAAAACCGACATATAAGAAGCATTCATTCATTTTTCTACTGATTATCAATGCCCTTATAAATGCAACAATTTTTATTTAAAAATGTTCACATAAATATCTTTTGACGGTAACTTAATAGCCAGTCATGTTTTCTTTGCATGCTATACTTGAAGAAGAGCTTTCCTTCGTTTTAGAAAACATTATGAGACTTGGGAAGGTCGTAAAATCTCGATTCAAATAGAATCGTAACTGTCATGAAGTATGAAACATCGTCCATATCCACTGTAAAAAAAATTCTCAACACAACGGTATCTCCTTAAAGGCATAGGGGGCATATATGATCCTCCCTACACGGCAAGCATGAGATTTGCAGACTGAAAAGCCTCAACATTAATGTAATGGCCGGTAGGAATAAAAAAATTCTGAAAATGGGAAATGAATTTTAAGACTTATAATCTTTGTTCGAAAGTAAAGTTTTATATGATTTAATACTACCAACTGGGTACAAAAAAGAACAGTTTTGGTTAACGCTTGAAGGGCATCGAAAGTCAAAAGAAACGAACTCATACAACTTAAGTAATAATTTGTTTACAGAGTGCGGCTTTTGTAGGTGACCAAAAAGACGTGTGTTCAACAAAGCCATGCTGACTCAAAAAGAAATAATAAAGAAACCTCATTTAAGTTATCTTCCTAATCGAAAACGCATTCAAATTAGGGTCGATTACTAACTGAGCATTCTGGTTTGGGAGATGTTATATCTGTACTCCTTAAACGGGCCGCATAAGAGATGTACTGTACCAATACGGGAGCCAGACCAGGGTACGGGAGGGGCTACTCGCGTTGCGCTCTCATGGGACACGGACCGCAGCATCAGTCCAGAGTTTGCTGTTATGTGCAGTGGCTGACTGTTGAGCTAAGAGTCAAGCGGCAATGGCTCCTTCTTACTATGGTTTTAATGGCACTCCCAATCAACTTGGATCTTAGCCATGTGTGATGGCACGCCTAGGCGG